CACCAGGCCAGCACACTTTCTGAGACCCTCTCTGTGTCCAGCCCTTTCAGCCCATCTTCCACGGCCTCACCCAACACCATATCCGAGGTCATTTCTCCAACCAGTGCTTCGAGCTCGACCTCTACAGCTGAATTGAGTACAATCTCTGAGGTCATCTCCACGCCCAGCACGACCTCTCTGATCTCCAGTTCTACAGATCTTCATCCCAGCACTGTCTCTGAAGCAGTCTCCACCATCCGCACTTCTATCCCGACTTCCTCGCAGCAGGCCAGCACACTTTTTGAGACCGTCTCTGTGTCCAGCTCTTCCAGCCCATCCTCCACGGCATTGCCCAGCACCATCTCCGGGGTCATCTCTCCAGCCAGTGCTTCGAGCTCGACCTCCACTGCTGAGTTGAGTACAATCTCTGAGGTCATTTCCATGCCCAGCACATCCTCCCTGATGTCCAGTTCTACAGATCTTCAGCCCAGAACTATCTCTGAAGCAGTCTCCACACTGAGCACTTCTATCCCGACTTCCTTCCCCAAGGCCAGCCCAGTTTCTGAGACTGTCTCTGTGTCCAGCTCTTCCAGCCCATCCTCTACGGCCTCATCCAGCACCATCTCTAAGTCCATCTCCCCAACCAGTGCTTCCAGTTCTACCTCCGCAGCTGAGTCGAATACAGTCTTCAGGGCCATCTCCACGCCTAACGCTTCCAGCCTGATCTCCAGTGCCTATGCCAGCACCGTCTCTGAAGGACTTTCCATGAGGAGCACTTCTATCCCGATTTCCTCCCACCAGGCCATCACAGGGTCTGAGACTGTCTCTGTGTCCAGCCCTTCCAGCCCATACTCCACGTCCTCGCCCAGCACCATCTCCGAGTCCATCTCTCCAACTAGTGTTTCCAGTTCTACTTCTGCAGCTGAGTCGAGTACCATCTCTGAGGCCATCTCCGTGCCTAGGAAATCCACCCTGACCTCCAGTGGCCATCTTAGCACCATCTCTGAAGCACTCTCTGTACTCAGCACTTCCATCCTGATTTCCTCGCACCAGCCGAGCCCAATCACTGATACCGTCACTGTGTCCAGCCCTTCTAGCCCATTCTCTGTTGCCTCTCCCAGCACCATTTCCCCAACCAGTGCTTCCAGTTCTACTTCCGTAGCTTCATCACGTACAATCTCTGAGGCCATCTCCTCGCCCAGCACATCCACTCTCATCTCCAGTTCTACAGATCTTCAGCCCAGCACAGTCTCTGAAGCAGTCTCCACACTCCGCACTTCTGTCCCTACCTCCTTGCAACAGCCCAGCACAGTTACTGAGACTTTCTCTGTCTCCCTCACTTCCAGCCCATCTTCCACGGCCTCGCTCAGCACCATCTCCATGGGCTTCTCTCCAACCAGTGCTTCCAGTTCTACTTTCGCAGCTGAGTCGAGTACCATCTCTGAGGCCATCTCCGTGTCTAGCACGTCCATCCTGACCTCCATTTCCCTGCCCAGCACCGTCTCTGAAGCACTCTCCACACTCAGCACTTCTATCCTGGCCACCTCGCACCAGCCCAGTACCATTCCTGAGACCTTGTCTTTGCCCAGCATTTCCATTCCACCGTCCATCGCTTCACCCAGCACAGTCACTGAGCCTGTGCCCACATCCAGTGCTTCCAGTTCTACCTCCGCAGCTGAGTCGAATACTATCTCCAGGGCCATCTCTACGCCTAACGTGTCCACCCTGATCTCCAGTGCCCCAACCAGCACTGTCTCTGAAGCATTTTCTATGCACAGCCCTTCAAGTCTCACCTCCACTGCCCCACCCAGCAGCATCTCCGAGGGTGTCTCACCAGCTAGGACTTCTAGTCTTATCTCCACTGCTGAGTCAAGTACTATCTCTGAGGCCATAGCCACACCAAGCACATCCACCCTGATCTCTATGCCCAGCCCTTCTATTCTGACATCCCCTGCTCAGGTCAGCGCTGTCTCTGAGTCCGTCTCCCCAACCCACGCTTTCACTATGACCTTCACAGCTGAACCGAGAAGCATCTCCACAGCCATGTCCACGCCTGGCGCTTCCAGCCCAACCACTACAAATCACCCTAGCACTGTCTCCATGACTTCAAGTGCCCAGCCTGGGACCATTCCCATTTCTTCCAGTCTGACCCCCATGGCTGAGCTGAGCACCAGCTCCAAGACCTTTGGCAATCTCAGCACTTTCATTCCGACCTCCAAATCGGAGGCCACCACCAGCACCTCCAGCACACAGCCCAGCACCATCTCTGAAGCCTTCTCCTTGGCGAGCACTTTCATGCCAACCTTCGTGTCCCAGCTCAGCACCATATCTGAGGCCATCTCTACGCCCATCATTTCCAGTACGACTTCCACAGCTGAGCCCAGCACTGTCTCTGAGACTGTCTATGTGTCAAGTATTTCAAGACCATCCTCCTTGTCCCTGTCCAGCACCATGTCGAGGGTCATTTCCCCTTCAAGCCCTTCCAGCCTGATTTCCACAGCGGAGCCCAGCACCATCTCCGAGTTCATCTCTACGCCTAGTGTTTCTACTCTCATTTCCAGTTCCCAGCCCAGCACCATCTCTGAAGCTGTCTCCATGAGCAGCACTTCTAGGCAGACCTCTATGGCTGAGCCCAGCACCAAGTCTGAGGCCATTTCCACATCCAATGTTTTCATTGTCACCTCCCCTGCTGAGTCAGGGACATTCTCTGAGGATGTCTCCACACCCAGCACTGTCATCCCAAGCTCCGTGGCTCTGGCCAGCACTGTCTCTGAGGCCATCTCTTCGCCTCCCACCGACAGTGAAACCAGGAACAGTGAGACAACCTCTGCCTCATTCTCTGCACCGCCCTTGCTGACCTCTGCCACTCAGAGAGCCTTCTTCACATCTGCTACTCGCTCAACTGCCTCTGAAACCACCACCAAGCCGGCGACCTCAGTAACCACCGTTTCTGGTCCAGTCTCAGCAGAGCTCAGCCATAGTGAGGTAACGCTGTCAACCATGGTCTCTGCCCCCGATACAGCTGAAACATCTGCTAGTGTGAGAGCGTCGACAGGAGCTACACACTCTCCAGGTAGCATCTCACCCTCCCGTGAGACTGCAATAACAAGGAGTGCGTCTCTCCCTACTGTACCTGAAACAGTCGCCAGTGAGACAACAACTACGACTTCTCTTCCCTCAACTCACTCAAGAAGAGAGACCAACATGTCGACCTTTCTCCCTACCCAGAGCACAGCTGAAATTTCCACAAAGGAGGAACATCTGACGACTACTTTCCAGTCAACTGTGACAGCACCATCCAGTGAAAGACCTCTCAGTACAACTGTCACGCATGCAATGGTGTCTGAATTGACCACCAGTGAGACAGCTGTGACACTGGCTCCTCCCCTCACAGCCGGTACTGAGCTGACAAGTATCAAGACTACCCTAGCAACCACTCCTGTTCCAGTGTCAAAGGCATCCACACATCCTATGGTAACACTTATGCACACTACAACTGTAATGAGCAACAGCAAGACAATTTCAGCACCCCCTCTACCACTCACAGTGACCACCTCTGCTTCACACAGCACTTTCACGACACCTGCCTTGCACACAACCATTTCTGAAACCACCCGCAGTGAGGAAACATCTGCTACTCATGTTGTGCCCACTACTACTAAAACATCCTCTAGTGAGGCAGCCCTGACTACAGCAACTCGCCCTCCAATTGTATCAACATCTTCTGCCAAGAGCGCCGTAACAACAATCATGTTACGCACAACAGTTCCTGCATTTATTAGCAGTGCATCACCACTGACAAGAACTTCTCCCCAAGTGACTTTCACAGAGTTGACAGGCAGTGAGACTACCAAGGCAATTAGTTTTCCTACACAAACTACAGCAAAATCTCTCCACAGAGAGACCACAATATCAACAACTCTCACTATACCTGCTACACACGAATTCTCCACCTTTCAGGCAAACTCTAAAATGGCCACCTCCCAACCAGCTCTGACCTCCCCTTCCACTATGACTCTGCCAGTGACAACTTCCACCAAATCCACAACCCACAAGAAAACATTGGCAACGATTGTTTCTTTGCCTCCCACCGCAGTGTCCACCTCCAGGATCTCTAGCACAATAGTGACTTCAAAGCCAGCAACAAATCAAGAGTCTTCTACAAGGTCCATGGCTCCTCTTCTCTCCGTCTCTCCCACAAGGAAACCCACTACTGGAGCCACTCAAGTGTCTCAGCTTCAATCTAGCAGCACGAATGCCCCAATTGTTGTGCCAACCAAAATGCCAATGACGAGTGGTTACTCCAAAACTACCACTGGCACCACCACCGCCATGGGTGAGTTGGGAGGTATCAATGGGGGGCAGGGTTCAGGGCATGGGGCACCGCACAGAGAGCTTGGGAGCCCTAGATTCTTTTCCTGGCTCAGCCACTGACCAGCGCAATGGGGTCCCTGATCTCAGCTGGGGCAGGTGTTTAACTGGAATGTGAAGAAAAATTCTTGGATAGAAACACTTGGCAATCAATTACCATTTCCCTCACGTACTTCAGAGCTGGCTGCACCTCAGCACCGGGCGAGGGGTCCCTGTGTTGACCCCTCCCCGCCCATGAGGTGGCTGCACTTCAGTGCTGGGGGAGGGGTCCCTGGGTAACTGGCTGTTCTGCCCCAGAAGTGGCTGCATCTCAGTGCTGGGGGAGGGGTACCTGGGTAACTGGCCTCCCCCCCAGAAGTGGCTGCAGCTCAGTGCTGGGGGAGGGGTCCCTGGGTAACTGGCCTCCCACCCCAGAAGTAGCTGCAGCTCAGTGCTGCAGGAGGGGTGCTTGGGTAATTGCCTCCCCCCCAGAAGTGGCTGCAGCTCAGTCCTGGGAGAGGGGTGCCTGGGTAACTGGCCTCCCCCCCAGAAGTGGCTGCAGCTCAGTGCTGGGGGAGGGGTGCCTGTCAGGTTTCTATCCTCAGGAAGCCCCATTTCTCTCTTTGCTCCCCGAAGTTCCAGCCACCACGAGGAAGCCCCTGCAGTGCCAGAATGGGGGGACGTTCCTTGCAAACGTGTGTCACTGCCCAGCCGGCTTCACAGGGGAGCAGTGCGAAACGGTGATGAACAATGTCAACGTTGGTGAGCTGCTCCCACCTCCCCATTGCTCTGGGTCTCCCTGTCAGGCTGGCGTTTTCCTGGGCTTGCGTCCCAAAGCAGCCTGCTGGCTGTGTCGGTGACCCTGGCAACTGTTCCGGGGGGTGTTGCTTTATCTCTCAGCATCGCATTGGAGGTGCAAAAAAGGCTAAATCATCCTGGCGGGGTGAAAGGGGTGGGGGGTTGCTAGTGAGAGGTGGGAGGGGGTTGTCCTGCTCTTTGGGGGCTGGTCCAAGGGGGCAGGGACCAGTTGTTCTCTAGGCCCCCCCCAAAAGGCACCTCAAGGAGCAAGGGGGTTAATCTGGAGCTGGGCAGAGCTCTTGGGGAACTCAGTTCCAAAGCAGGCGCCATGGCAGGCCAGGGTGCCCATTGCTGGAGGGGTTTGGACAAACAGCCATTGGGGCTGAGCTGGGGTTCTGGTCCTGGTCCGGTGCGGGCAGCTGGAATGGGGGTCCCTTCCAGCCTGCTTGGGGCTGCCAACGCCCCCTTGTCTGTCCTGCCTACAGACGTGGTTGTGGCTGAGATCAACATCACTGTAGAGGTGACAACCATGGTCTTCAACCAAAGCATGACAAATCGCTCCTCCCAAGCCTTCATAGAATTCAAGGAAATCTTCATCATCCAGGTGAGGGAGGGAGATGGGGCTGCAGATCTGCCAGGGGCATTAGGATGGGTGGGGGGCATCGATGGAGCTATGGGTGAATAGGGAACTGCCATAGTGGGGTGGAGATGGGGGAGGGGTGATTGTAGGTCTGTGGAGGCAGTGTCCTTTTGCATAGGTCTTCTGGGGGCTTGGGCCTGGTGCAATGCATTATGGGAGGGTTGGGGCTTTGGCTCATGGGGGAGGGGAAGGCCTACCTGCACCAGACCCCAGGTCCTTGGGCTGTGGGAGGACCAAGCCTACCACTGGGGCAGGAGCATCCTGCTGGGTCGGGGGAGCAGGGTCTCTGCAGGGCAGGGGGTAGCGGGGGGGCTGTGAAGGGGACCGGGACACCTTGCTGAGCCCAGTGTGTTGCAGATGGCGCCGATGTACAAGCGGATGGTGCCCGGGTTCCAGCGCATCGAGGTGATCCGGCTGAGGTGAGGTGTGGGGCCCAGGCCTGCCGGTGGCAGGGGGGTCATGCAGCAGCCTCCTGACTCCTCTTCTCTCCGTCTCCACCCGCAGCAATGGCAGCGTGGTGGTAGAGCACCGGGTGCTCCTGGCCCTGCCCTACGCCAGCTACGCCAGCGCCTACCCCCAGGCCATGGCCAACATCAGTGCCTGGTTCGACATCACCACCTGCATCAATGAGTCGGACACCACCACCCAGGGTCTGTGCTGTGCCCTGCCTGGCCAGCTGGCCTCCCTTTCACGGCCAGTCGGTTCTCTGGGTCGCTGTGAGGTGTCAGCCGCCCTGCAGAGCCTGCATCTGGTCCCTTCCTCACACAGCCCCTCGCGCCCTCCCTGCCACGTTTCCTGCATCGGCCCCGGCACCCTGGGGCCTCCGACCAGCTGTAGGGATCACCATGGACACTGTATCTGTCCCCTCACTGGCCCCACAGATCTTCTAGAGTCTCCCAGGCCTTTGGGTCCCACCAATCTATAGTTCCTGCTCCCTGCTCGGCCTCTGGCACATGTCCAGGGCTCTGGCTGGTTCTGTGCCCCCTCTACACATATGGCCCCCCAGGACCACAACCCCCAATTGCTTCCTGAGCCCCAACCTCATAGCTACTCGCGCAGCCCTGGGGTCTTTGCCCCCCACCTGCAGGTGGGAAGCGGCCGTGGTCTGTGCCGAGGGCACAACTCACCACCTGGATCTTCTCTTCCAGCTCCGCCTCATGGCTTGTGCTTCAAACCCAACACGACACGTGTCAACGCCCTGGCCCTGCAGACCACAGGTGAGAGGCAGGTTCTGGGAGCCTGGGCAGGCGCGTGGGGGACAATCTGGTCTGACCCTTGGCGTAATTCCTGTTAGAAAAGCCTCCCGCCGCAGCTGTGCCATTGGTGGAGACTCTGCCATGGCCCGGGGGAAATTCATTCCATCACTGGCCAAAGCGCCTGCCTGAGTCCTGGGCACAGAGGAGCAAAACTGGTTTGCAGCGCTTAGAAAGGAAGGTCCCGGTGGGCAGGCTCTCTCCCGACCTCCGCCAGCTCTGGCTCCTGGGCTTATAGATTCCAACACCCAGTGCACTCCAGGCCTGGACTATGGGGCTCCCAGCCATGCTGATGCAGCCTGCTGGCTGGGACAAAAGCAGCCTGATGGCACTTGTCCTAAAAAGAACAGGTGGGTGCAGATGTCTGTGATGGGCGGCCAGCTGCAGTGTCTCATCAGAAGCAGACCAGGGAGCATCTGATAACGTGGACATAGGCAGCAAGCTTGAAACGGCTAGGAGGGGAAAGTGCCAGATTAGCCGGTGGAACTCACTGCCACAAGGTCCGTCTGACACCAAGGAGCACTGGCTGGCAAATGGGAACCCCGTCCCATACAAAATGTCACATTGCTTGGGAGGAAGGACATTTGCTGCACGGGGAGGACAGGTGGAGGGTGATATTTTACACAGGGAGGACATGGAGTGTAGGAGACTGGGAACGTAACGATTCGCCTGTCTCCGGCATCCTGGGAAGGCCTGTAGCCCTCCTGCCAGCTCCTGGAGGTGGCAGTGGGGAGCAGAGTGGCTAGGCCCAGCTGCTCATGAAAGCTCAGCAAGGGCAGAACAGGAGCCCCATGTGTTTTCCTGGAGCCTCCTTGGGGGTGAGGCTGGCCCAGCCAGAGCCGGGGGATGCCCCTGTTGACCTGCTCTGGGCCTGCCTCCCAGGTGTGTGCCAGAACAACTCGAACATCAGCCTGTCCTATGAGAACTACTTCCTGCCCGTCAACGTCTCGGGCCAGCTCATGTGCGTCTCCAATTGCAGCGTCTACCACCCTAACCTCTACACCTGCAGCGGTCGGGGGTACTGCTACATCCAGACGGGGGGCCCCACCTGCTAGTGAGTGTTAACACTTGGGGGCACGGGGGGAACCCGGCTGCAGCTGGGGACAGGGACTGAGCCTGGTTCTCGCACCGGGGCGCAGGGAGCCATGGCTGGTCTGAATGCCATCAGCTGGAGGGCAAAGCGGGGTCACTGGGGGGAGCGCAGGTCACCCCTGTCTTCAGCATTTGCTCCTGGGAAGCACTGGCCCTGAGACTTGGCACTGAGGCTGGACCCATCTCCTGCTGACCCATCCCCATGCGTCTCACTTCAGAACTTCCCACAACCCCCTAGACATCCCTCCCCCCACCCAGAGCCAGGGAGAGAACCTGGCTCCCAGCCCCCTGCCCTCCCCTCACCTTCCAGAGCTGGACAGAGAACCCAGGCCTCTGGGCTGCCTCGCGCCGCTGACAACCTCCCCATCTCTCGTCAGCTGCCAGAACTCGGACTGGGAGTGGTACGTGGGCAGTCACTGTGAGCAGGCCGTGAGCAAGGTGGGCGTGGCAGTGGGAGTGGCACTTGGCCTGGCCGTGCTGCTGCTGGTGATTCTCATCCTGGCCATCTGTCTGTGCTGGCGGGTACGGGGTGGGCGGGGACTGGGGCACAAAGGGGTGGGATTTCCACCCTCCCAGGCAGGGGGCTGTCTGACCTGCTCTGACAATCTGCCACGGACGGCAGTTCCTCCCTGAGCAATTCATCCCAGTGCTACCGCCCTGGCAGCACGTTTTCCTAATGTCCAACCTAAACTGCCCCTGCTGCTGTTTGAGCCCCTTGCTTCTCATGCCCTCCTGAGCTGTGAGGGAGAACAACGTACCTCCCTCGCTGGCCAGAGCTCCGGGTCGCTCACTCCGGTGGGTTTCTGCCCTGGCTCTCCTCTGAACCCTCTCAGTTTGAGAACTGCGGGCACCAGGACAAGATATGGGATCCCGCCGTGGGCACAGGCGCACCAGGCACCGAGGGGAGAGCACCACTTGGCTGCTCCTCAGTGGAAGCCTCAGAAAAGTCCCTGAACTGAAAATTCCCCTCCCCCAATTTGTAAAATTCATCCCCCCAACAGGAGCATGGGAAAAGACTGAAGGTCAGGGAGGGGTCTGGTGTTTCAAGTGGTAATAGAATATGTTTCTGGGGGCACCAGTGAGAGGGTCAAATCAGGGCAAATTGCTTAGAGACAGGGCAACAACCCCATGGCTGGGGGCGAAGGGGGGGGGGAGGAACCGATAAGGCACCAAACCAGCCACCCAGAGCACTTCTGTTCACCACACTGGCCAGCAAGGAGCCACACAAGCAACCCCCTTAGACACCCAGCTTCTGTGCCACCAGCAGCACCGCGCCTTCCCCAGGCTGCGAAACCCATCGCACTAAAGCCCAACAGGATCCCAAGGCACCAGCCACATCCCAGGTCCATTTATATCTCAACTCTCACCCAAAGAGCAGGCTACACTGATCCTCTGGCATCAGACGGCTAAAGGCTTATTCATAGACAGGCAGAAAGAAAAGGCTGAAAGTAGAATTGTTGAAGGGCTCGAGTTACATTCGCCGCTTGCACAGTTCTTGGTGCAGGTTTTAGCAGAGATGGAATCATCTGCTGTTTTACAAGAAGTCTCTGGGATACGCTCCGTTAGGATGGATCAACAGTCCTTTCCTGCGTCAGCTCCCAGCAGGGATCCTGCGAAGGTGATTAGCTGCAGTGAGTCACGTGACCAGTCACTGTCCATGCCTGACTCAGGCCTTAGCAGCCATCACTCATGGGCTCGTGTGATGGACCGGGCCGGGTCTGGACACCGCTGAGGGCGTCCGCTCAGGGCAAATCACTCAAATTCAGGCTCCTTACAGCCTCCAGACTGGAGACCTTCCCAAATAGGCCACAAACCAGTCCCACGGAGCACTTCAGCTGCCTGCCTGGCCAGCCAGAAGCCTCACAAGCAAAACCCCTCTGAAACCCCAGCAATATCCGTGCACCAGATGGCCCCAGGCCTTCCTACAAGTGAGGGGTCTTAGAGCCCAATCTTACCTACCCTGAACAAGTTCTGTCCGGTTCCAAGAAACCAGCCACAGATCCCAGGTCAATGTACCCTCTGGAACTTACCCACAAATCATGCTAAGCCAATCCTTTAGAATCTAACATCTAAAGGTTTATTACTACCAGAAAGAAAAGTGCGAGGCTGAGGTTGTTAAAGTATCATATATTACATGCATTGAATCTCCCAGTTCTTGATGCAGGCTTGCAGCAGAGATCTTATACCTGTTGGCTTAAAAGTTCTTGGTGTACATCCTACATCAGGATGGGTTCACAGTTCTTTTCGGCTCCTCAATCCCTGCACTCTTGCCTCTGGGATGAAGAGCTGAGCTGAGCACCCCGGTGGAGTCGGCCACATGGCCAACGTATACCCCTCCCTGGCTTCTTCCAAGCTGGAGGGAATCACATGGTCACAGGCCAGGCATCCAGGTTCTCTCTTAGGTGGGTCTCTGGTACTTTGTCAGCCGACGGTCAGGGCAGTGTGTGTGTGAGTGTGTGTTTCTGAGAAAAGGTTTAACGTTCGTGTCTTTACTGCTAGGACAAGGGTCCCATCGCAGAGGGTGGCCAGCAGGCCAACAGATGCTTTGCTATATAGGAAGAGCTTATTATACTTTAGATTTTAGCTGCTAGAACACAGGGGTTCCTTCGCAGCGGGCAGCCTAGGAAAGGCTGAAAGGATCTTGTCACCTGGGAGTGACACAGATCCAAACGCCCAAGCTCTCCCTATGTCTGTCCCTTTATGACCGGCTGAAGTTCTTTTAAATTGTGCTTGGTTCTATTATAGCAACTGAAGGAGTCAGGTTAAAGCTTAAACAGTTACAGGTTTATTAAAGAAGCTTATAAATCATATGGTTACAATGGTTATTACTTTATTTCTTAAATGCTAGCAAATATATATATATAGGTCTTAAAAATGATCACAGGGTAAAGGTAAAGATAGAAAATAGAAATAATGGTACCAAGTGACAGCTTAATCTTTAAAGAGCTCTAAGTCTATGTGTACACTTAAGACAAAGGACTACATCTAGGTACAATTTTTACCCCTTTCTGTGCCTCTCGACTTCAGCATGTCAGGCCAGGGCCGGTCTCTCAATTCCTAGGAAAGACGAATACGAGGTGGGCGTCCCCTCTGGAACCTCGGGAGATCAAACACCTAACTTGACCAGCAGATAGATGGTAGATTGACACTCAGAGAAAATATGCTGCTGGACCCATCTTTATACCCTTGGGGGCCCGTATCCTCTTTCGTATCTAAGAGGCTAAATTGTACTGGTCTGTTCTGTGGCGCTAGTTCTTACAAGCAAGTTTCAAGTTAATTTACACTTGCAAGAGAGATAACTAAATTGTGTGTACTAGACATTTTTTTACTGGGCGAGAGATTCCTCCCCCCGCGGATGGATGTGTGTTCATATCAATATGGGTTTGAGTCAAGGGCACTCCTTGGCAGCCTCTTGGTCAGAAATTGGCGTATCTCTGTTTACAGCCATTCATGGTCACAGCAGCTTGGGCCTTCTGCTCTGTATGCCCTGTATGCTCCAGGCAAGCAAAAATGGATGTTACAAGGGGGGTTCCTGTCTGGCTACATTCTACCCTCTGATACGACACACTACATACTAGGATACAAGATGGCGGTGATACTAGCACCTCTTGCTTACTTTGGGGGAATCTAGAAGTGCCTGATGGCTGGAATAGAAGGTTCAGGATCTAGGAATTGGCTAGGGTCCTTTCCTAGTGCTGTATATTGAATGTGCACAAAAAAGGTACCTGCATTAACTAGGCATTGCACAATACATAGGGTTATGCAGAAAATGATTACAACAATTACAGTGGTTAGAGCAGTGGTTATAACAGAGTGTAGAAAAGGAGTTAGGGAAAATCTCAGCTGTTGGGCTAACCAATTTAGCCATGAGATGTTTACATTCTTAGTTACAGCGTGTCTTACCTCATACAGTCTGTTGCTACTTCTTTTGCTTTTTTCCAAAGTTATTTTGAGGATTGCGGTGGTCGCTGTCATCGAACTACACCGGTCTCCATTGGAAGATGTCCCTCTTGTTCCACTAGTTGTTTTGGGCTGAGAGGGACAAACTTGGTTTTTAGTCTAGTAGAGGAGTCAAGTAAGGTGTTTTGGTACAGCAGTAGCAGTTGGGATGAGGAAGAAGACCATGGCGAGTTGGAGTACTATGTCTTGCTTCAGCTTAGATTTTTTTTTCTATAGTTCAGTCTATAACAACAGCGATTGCAAGCGCTGCAACAGCAAGCGGTATATATACAAAAAGTTCATGATGGTTTCCCGGATCCACACCAGCGCTGGGAGGGATACATCCCACTGGAGCACTGTTCAGGGCCATTGCCTCAGTTTCCTGTAATAAAACAAAAAAGTTCGCTGGTCTTGGATACAATCCAAGCCTCAGTAATGGTTATTGGTGTTAGCCCAGCGTCTGCAGTGGTCTAGACTCCTTTTC